CTGCCATGCGATTGCATTTGTCCCTAACCATCGGGAACCCTCATGTTAACTTTTATCGAGTGGAAAAAAGTTACCATTCGTCCTCCAACTTCACTGTGCTAAGGTTATTGTTGGGTTTATCTAAGTACAAACCCTGCTGGAACAATTTAGACAACCAATTGCAGCAGCAAAACAAGACACAAGACAGAGCTCTTTGTGTGTTCTCGCGCGAGGGAGGCCAACTGAGGTTAAGCGCTGTTCCTTTCACTTGAACCCTGTCAAACTCTCAGCCGGACTTCCCATAGCGCTCCTTTTATTGTGGTTACATGAGTATGCGTAGTTTCATCAATACGTGACATCTTAAACAGGCATTTGTGTGAACAGAGTATAGCCTGTCGTTGTGTGTGGGTTAAAATATGACCCTGTGAAACCTGCTCAGCCAGGCCTAACGATATTACACTATGCTGTCTGCAAAGGCATACACTCCATATATCACAAGACAAGATGCAACCTTCCCATGAACTTAAGATGTATATGAGGTATGCCAGAACACCAGAAAGGAGTGAACGTCCTCCCCTCACCCTGTACATGGCTTAACTTTAATAGTTCACCATATACAAGCACAGGCGAGCCCCTAAATGGCAAGAAGTAAACATCCACACTAAATAAGGACACAGAACCTTTACATAGGATGTGCCTGCAGTTAAACACTATAACTAATTACCTCCCCCACACCCTAGATGTGTAGGGGAGGAACAGAAGAATATCTAAACATGCAGTTTAAGGCAAGGTTTACAAATTTAAGTACAATAATGGCAGCTATTATCAAAATCAACCTAACAGTTATGCTAACATAGCTGTGTTGCTAGCAGTCAAGTAGCACATCATTATATAGCAGCTAGCCCAACTTCAGTAACCCTACAAACGTCACTGCTGTTTAGTTTTCTGTCTTACTTTATGTTGGAAGTGACAGCAGAGCTGTACGTCTGAATTTTTTCAGAAATCCCTCATTCAGAACATGCTATATAATGTTTAGGTGGAAACTAGCGAGCTAACTTCCTGCTAACTTCTAACTCCGTTAAATTTAAGTTTAACATCCAGGCATCCATGAAAACATAATTTATTAATTGTTACACCTGGTAAAGCAGCAATGCTGATTGTTTTATTAAAGATGAAAGAATTTAGACAGTTTTTAACTCTCAGTGATGCTGCAGTGTTCGGTTGACTTTGGGACCTGAAACAGACGGAGTTTAGGACCCAGATTCCTCCGCGAGGCTCCTGACTACGGTAGCCTTAACGCTCTGACAATCCATCAAGTGCTGCGGCTTCATAGCTTACCAAAGTCGTACTAAAACACTCAGATTTCTGAGCGCCGTGTACCACATAAAATTGGTTCGAGGTCAGTATGCACAACCAGAATTCATACATAAGGCGAACTGTCGATTTTTGAGAAAATTAAAGGATTTTAAGTGCACCTTATAGTGTGTAAAATACGTTATACAGGGGAAAAGAATATATCACGATATATATCGTTACCGCACATGCTTCAAATTATACCGCAATATGGATTTTAGGCCATATCGCCCAGCCCTACTTGCAGACATCCTCTGTTTCCCTCCTCAAGCCTCTTGTCCCTTGTCTGTCACCCTGCAGCCTCTGGAGCTACTATGGCACTCCCTGGATGAGTGGCTGGTGCTCATCTCTACAGAGCTGGAAAGGAATAGGAAGAACCCATCTTCCTCCTCCAGCAGCGATATAGCCTCTCTGCTTCTGAAACAGCGTGAGTCAGAACATGATGGGTCCACGCCAAAGCTTCCCTCCTTGCTGGATCATCAGATTGTCATCGAATCAGAGGCGTATGCTGACGGGGAGGACGTCATCTCCATGACAGCCAGTCGACTCAGTGCTGTTATCCAGGCTTTCTACATGTGTTGCTCCTGTCAGATGCCCCAAGGGTATGAGCTCTGCATCCCTCTGTCAGATCCAATGGTAGTAAACATCAGATGGCATCATTTCAATTCAATTCAATTCAATTTTATTTATATAGCGCCAAATCACAACATAAGTCGCCTCAAGGTGCTTCATAGATACAGAGAAAAACCCAACAATCATATGACCCCTATGAGCAAGCACTTTGGCAACAGTGGGAAGGAAAAACTCCCTTTTAACAGGAAGAAACCTCCGGCAGAACCAGGCTCAGGGAGGGGCGGCCATCTGCTGACATAGAGACTGTTAAATATCAGTTTTAATCAAATAGACCTGCAGCTATACAATCCAGAGTGTTCAGTTTTCTTCTTATCATTCATCATTAGTTATTACTGTGGTAGTTCTGTTACAATACTACTGCTACATCCAACTACTGCTAATGCTGCTAATGTGTAATGATCAAATGTTTTCAAATGGGAAAGAGAACTGAGCTTGAAACTGTCGGGAAGTGACTGGAAATCTCCAAACAGCTCTAAAAGATGAAGATACTTTAATCAGGAAACAATCTAATCAGTTTCGTTATTACTTCACATGTAAAAAGTAAACCCCTGGAGACCATACGGATACCAAATTCCAATCATATTAATGGTTGTATATAAATCTGCAATCATTCTGGGATAAAGTTCTCTTAATTTTCAAGGACATATTTGGTTGTGATATCCCTGCAAAACCCAGAATGATGGTTTTTACCCAACCTAAAGATATACATCTCTTCAGAATTTTACTATTGTAAGTAACAAAGCCGTAATGAGGATAAATGTGATCCTCCGAGGACAGATCACGGCTGTATAGATCAGAAGAAATACACTCCATGGAAAAACTGACTGATTCTTTAAGGACTGAAGCAGGCACCCATAGCAAACTATGAACCAAATATCTATCTGTAAGTCAAAACACAGGTCGAAACTTTAGATTGTGAGGAAACCCTTCAGCCATCAGGCTGTGGTTCCTCTGTGAAACCAGCTCCCAGATTGAATTCAGAAGACATAGCTCCCCCAAACCTTCCTTTTTAAAACGAAATGAAATATTTCACATTCATGTCAGGTCAGACTGACTGATCTGAGGCAGATTCCACTGGAAGCAGCCATGCTTCATCCCATTTGCTCCCACACTATTAGTGGACATTTATGGATTAGATCTATAAAGATGCTTAATTAACAAGGAAATGTGGACTGTTATTGACATGAAGTGAGCTGTTGCCCTTTTCAGTTTGCTCTGTCTTTTCTCTGGTTTCTGTTTCTCGTACCTTCTGACCTCTCTCTGTTTCCACACCCAGAATGACATCACCCCGCTTCATTGAGTTTGTCTGCAACAATGATGATGTGCTCAAGTGTTTCGTTATCAGGTGAGTCAACATGGCTCTTTAACATAAACATTAGAAAGTATGAATTGATCCAGAAACGTATTTTCTCTGAATTGATTTCCACTCTCATTTCCTTGTTCTCTCATTTTTCCCCTTATATTTCCGTCTGGACCTCCTCCTTAGAAATCCAAAGATTATCTTTAACCACTTCCACTTTCTCCTTGAATGTCCAGAGCTGATGTCACGCTTCATGCATATCATTAAAGGCCAGGTAAGACATAATCGAATAAATATATGACTACCTATTATGTACAAGAGAGAAAGAGAGCTGCCTGGAAAGATAAAGGCAGCCATCATTAGCCCCACTTCTGCCTACAGAGGCAGTGGTACAGCTCAGTGTCTGTAAACAGCTTAAATAATTTTGATGAGCTAATAAAACCGCCCTTTATTTCTGCTGAATAGTTTCTCTTCCTTCCTATAGTGTGTCCTATAGTGTCCCTAAGAATAAGTACAGTAGTACTAGTATTCAAAAGATTTGTCTTTGGAACATTCATCCGACTTCCCACGGTGCAAACCTGCAGACCTGCATCTCTTCTTCTATATCAGCTCTGATTTTCATTTTCTCCATGGCAAAGTTCTCGGTCAGGTGGTAACACTTCCTGACATTTTTTAGTTCATTATCACCAGTATTTTGTGATTCTCACCCCACTGACGACCCTACCACCCATTCTTGATCCCACATTTATTAATTAATCTATAAGTTATCCATCCACCTTCTTCTGCTTATCTGAGGCTGGGTATTAGGGGCAGCAGCAGAGGCATTCATGCCTCTACAACATACAAACAAGACAGCCCTACAACATCCAGAGCCTTCAGGGATTCAGGGCAATCCTCCCACAGGGGCTCTGCCACCAACAAGTTGTTTAACTGCCTCAGTGACCTCGCCCCCTGTGATAGACCAGTTATCCTTCTCATCCACAGACTCTGCTTCCTCTACAGGAATGTGTCAGTGGGATTAAGAAGATCCTCAAAGTATTCCTTCTACTGCCCGATAATATCCTCAGTTGAAGTCAGCAGCGCTCCACCCACACTACACACATTGCAGTCAGAGCACCACCTTTACCTCCTCAGTCGCTTAAAGGTTTGCCACAAACTCATTAAGGAAGTTCAAAAAACTTTTTCCATGGCCTCTCTGAACTCTTCCCACACCCGGGTTTTGCTTCAGCCACCATCTGGTTCGGGGTTACCACCATCACAGGCACCAACCACCTTGCAGCTGCAGCTCAGTGCAACAGCTTCAGCAATGGAGGTGCTGAGGATGGGCCGTTTGGACTCAGTGTCCCCAGTCTCCCTCAGAATGCTGTCGAAGCTCTGTGAACGAGCTCGTGGGCCTCTTCCATGTGTTCCCAGCACACCCTCACTATACGTTTAGGTGTCTCAGGTCTGTCCAGCGCCCTCCCCCGCTACTGACCCACCTCACCACAAGGTGGCGATCAGTTGACAGCTCAGCCCCTCTCTGCACCTGAGTGTCCCAAACATACAGCCGCAGATCTGTTGATACGATTACAATCTCGATTGCAACCTTGGGTGTCCTGGTGCCACATGCACTTATGGACACCCCTGTGTTCTAACATGGTGTTTGTTATAGACAAACTGTCGTTTGAGAACACCGCTCGGGTTCAGATCTAGCAGACCATTCCTCCCACTCACCCCCTCTTCAGTTCTCTGTTGCTAATATGAGCGTTTAAGTCTCCCAGTAAGATACGGATTCCCCAGGTGCAGCACCCTCAAGCACCCTAACGAGGGGGTTCAAGAAGACCGGGTACTCTGAACTGTTTGGTCTATAAGCACAGACAACAGTCAGGACCCGTTCCCCGACCCAAAGGCACAGGGAACAAACCCACTTGTCCACTGGGCAAAACCCTAACATACAGGCAGCAAGCCGAGGGGATACTAAAGATACCCACCCTTGCCCATCACCTCTCACCAAAGGCAACTCTGGGGATCAGTCCACCAGGGTCTCCACCCTTGGCTGCTGCACACATTGCAGCCTACCCCTACTGCACCCCCTGCGGGTGGTGGACCTACAGGTGGATGGGCCCATGCCCTTTTTCAGGCTATGCCCAGCGAAGCCCCATGGGCTAAGGCCTGGCCACCAGTTGCCCGTCCTCGGGCACCCTCCCCATGCCCTGCTCCTGGAAGGCTCCCTGGTAACCCTATCCTGGGCAGGACGAACTGTTCCCTACGTTTTTCTCTCATAGAGGTCTTTTGAATCACTCACTCCAGTGTACAAAGCAAAGTCCATAAAGACATGGATGAGCAGGTTTGTTTGTTTGTAAGAACTTGACTGGTCGCACAGAGTCCTAACCTCAACCCCATAGAACAGCTTTGTGATTAGTTACAGCAGAGGTTGTGAGCCAGGCCTACTCTCTGAGTCTCCTGACTTCATTAGCGTACCATCATTAGGCTTAGAAGACACTGTTAAAACTTGTTGACAACAGATCCTTTAAGGTGCTTGAAAAAGAAGAAGAAAATGATCTTTGTAGCCAGCCTGCTTGTTATTCTGATATAAATGAAACAATAAAAGTTGAATGACAGATAACTCGTGGTTAAAGTCAGTGCTAAGCAAACTGCTTTCTGCACAGAAGCCGTTTCAAAGTTGGATCAGTGTGATATTATTTAGGAAAACACTGACAATTTTGTTTTCTTTAGCCAAATAACTTTATTTTACCATGCTGCTTATTTTGAAGACCCATCCATGTGTTTGCCTGGAAAGAGTCGGTCTTCACATTTGACTTTTTGTACCTGACTTTTTTTGTATCAGACTGCTATTCGTACACAAACCTGCAGCCAATTTAGAACTACCACTCAACCTAAAGTGGACTTCTGTGATCTGTGGGAGGAAGCTGGAGAACCTTGAGAGAACACACTCAGACCAAGGGCAGGATGTACAAACGCCAACAGAAAGGTCCCGCCCAGCCGATGGATTTAAACCTTATTTATCTTGTAGTCCTGTGAGACTTTGAGTGACCCCATGTCATTTCATGATCAAGTGTTCCTTTCACTGCGAGAACACTTGTCTTAAGAAAAGTTTATTCAGCTTCATTAATTTTTAATGGCTGTTCTGAGTTGTATTAATTATCCTATCTTTAGTATTTATATTTGAGCTGCAGCATGAAAGCCCATGGATCATAGCTCACCTGGGAGTAGGTCCTTGTTTTAATTACAGGCTTCCTTATTCCTCTCTCAGTGCACTCTATCTTTCACTCCTCAGTGCTTGGAGAATAAAGGCATATATTATGGAAATGGACCCCAGCCTTGGCTCTGAATTACAGATGAGCGTTTCAGCACAAAACACTTCCTGAGGAATCAACTCGGATTGAAAAATTCCCCAACCTTAAAATTGAAAACACAGCCAAGTGATAATTAGTTTGAGAAAGTGCTGTGCAGTGTGAAATAAAGTCTTGTCTTCCCGTCAGCCCTTTAAGGATCGGTGTGAGTGGTTCTACGAGCATCTGTTGGCCGGCCAGCCGGATTCTGACATGGTTCATCGTCCAGTCAATGAGAATGATGTGCTGCTCATCCACAGAGGTACAGACACACTTAAGCTGCTCGTGTCCAGTCGCTGATGTCATTTGCAGGGTTATGCATACGGAATGAGATTGTGAATGTGGCCATGTGAGAGCTGTTGGCAAGTTGAAGGTGTTGTATGGTGTAAAACCTAAAGTAACATGATAAAAGGTAACAAAGTATCTAATAAACTCTGTCTACTAGTGTCCTAACACAGAAACAAACGTGGAAACATACAGCAGGTCTGCCCAAAGCAGTTGGGCCATTGAAGGTTCAAAGTCCCATTGGTCGAACAAACTGGTCCAAAATGTGCACCAGCTGAATGGGAAATGACAAGAAGACCCTAATAAATAACATTCAACCGTCATAAAACCGAAGATCTGTATGAAAACGTTTGTTCGACAAAATATAAATTGTATTTCCCCATATCACCATCAGATTCCATATTTAGGAGTAGCTGTGAGATGGTGTCAAAGTCCACCAATGAAAAACTCAAACAAGGCATTGCTGTTCGTTTCCATGGCGAGGAGGGTATGGTGAGTTGTCTGCAGTTCAGCTGTTAACAGTATAAACAGTAGTATTGTAGTTTGTATTAAAGACGCAGAGTACTGTGTGTGTGTGTGTCTGTGTGTGTGTGTGTGTGTGTGTGTGTGTGTGTGTGTGTGTGTGTGTTTCAGGGCCAAGGTGTAGTTCGGGAGTGGTTTGACATTCTATCCAATGAGATCATCAACCCAGACTACGCTCTGTTCACTCAGTCAGCTGATGGTACGTGGCATTTTTCCTTTAAATCACAAGAGTTCAGGTGTACAGAGTGATCCACAGAATGAGCTCATGCCATGTTTGTGTGACCACTGCTTGCTATTAAGATCATTCTGTACTGACGTGCTTGACAAGATGAGGCACAGTTTAGTCGCACTTAGGAACTAGCATGGCTCCCCAATACTTGCTCAATGGCGACTGCCTCTGTAGAATCATAATTTATAAATTTGTAAGAGGAAAATGCACGACTGCTTCCCAAGTTAATCTACAAAATGCATTAAGTCATGAAAGTCATGCTGTGCAAGAGCACTGTGTTAGAGAGAGAGAGGAGAGAATAAATGCCAGAGAGATGAGATTAGATAAGAAGAACTTTATTTATCCCGAGGGAAATTCTTTTGTCATACACATGCTCAATGCAGCAAGAGAGACAGAGGAGCAGAGGAATAAGATATACAATATATACAATAAGAATACTAGTATACAGTAATATACAGTAGGATAGTGCAAAATATAAGATCAAATAACTGTAACAAAGTAACAATATAACTGTATCCTGAAAAATAAATAGCTTAGCTATCAGTGCAGGTGATTCTAAAAGTGACATAGTGTTGTGCAAATGAATAAATACATGAAACAACTGTTGGTGATATTGCACAGTCTGAATGGGAACAGAATAGCTTTGTTATTAATCCTCAGGAGTTGTACAGTTTTATTGCCACCGGCACAAAGGATTTCCTGTGGCGGTCAGTTCTGCATTTCGGGGCAATGAGTCTTCTGCTGCGTGTGCTCCGATGGTCCGTCATGGAGGCGTGCATGTGGTGGGAGGGGTTGTCCATGATACAAAGAAGCTTCTCCAGTCTGACACCCAGGACAGAACCAGCCCGTTTAACCAGCTTGTTCAGCCTGTTGGCATCGGCTGTCTTCACCGCCCTGCCCCAGAACACAGCGCTCTCCACCACAGAGTGATAAACATGGTCAGCATTTTCCTACAAACATTGAAGGACCTGAGCCGCCTCAGCAGGAAAAGCAGACTCTGCCCTTTTTTAAAGACAGCATTGGTGTTCTTGGTCCAGTCCAGTTTACAGTGTTTACCGCAGGTACCGGTAGTCCTCCACGATCTCCACATCAGCCCCTCTGATAGTGACAGGGGTAGGAGGAGGAGCCTGCTTCCTAAAGACCATGATCAGTTCCTTTGTCTTTGTGATGTTAAGTTGTAGATGGTTAAGCTCACACCACTCAACAAAGCTGTCCACCACACTCCTGCACTCCTCCTCCTGTCCGTCTGATACAGCCCACAATGGCTGAGTCATCAGAGAGTTTCTGCAGATGACATGACTGTGACTTGTACCTGAAGTCAGACGTGTAGAGGGTGAAGAGGGAGGATGATAGGACCGTCCCCTGCGGCGCCCCCGTGTTGCTCGGGATGTTATCTGAGTGGCAGCCCTTCAGCCGAACATGCTGTGGTCGACTTGTTAAATAGTCCGTGATCCAACCTACCAGTGGGGCGTCCACCTGCATTTCCGTGAGCTTATTCCCCAGCAGTGATGGTCTGATTGTGTTAAAAGCACTGGAGAAGTCAAAGAACATGACCCTCCCAGTGCTCCCAACAATGTCCAGGTGAGAATAAGCCTGGTCCAGCAGGTAGATGATGGCATCCTCCGCACGATACGGGTTGATAAGCAAACTGCAGGGGGTCCAGCCAGGGCTCCACCAGCAGACGAAAGTGTCTCAGGATGAGTCTCTCTAAGACGCTGAAACAAACAAAGTGTACTTACACACACACACACACCTGTTTATCACAAATTGTGTCTATGATCCACAGGTACAACGTTTCAACCCAACAGCAACTCATCAGTGAACCCAGACCATCTGAACTACTTTCGATTCGCAGGTCAGATTCTGGGTCTCGCTCTGTACCACCGCCAGCTGGTCAACATCTACTTCACACGCTCATTCTACAAACACATACTCGGTAAGAAACTTTGGTTGCTAATACCTGATGTTACCTACCTTTAAGTAATAAAGTTTGAGTTTTGCACCAAACACCAGACTGATGAGAAAGTCCCTTCAATGTTTCTCCAGGATCTGTGGAAAAATTAGACTGTAAGTGATAATATCCAGAAACACTTTAATATGTTCCACGCCTTTAATTTAATGTATTGACAAAAATATTAGCTCATCTGCCTTAACATGCATATGAACCTGAGTGGCATCCCATTTGTAATCCATAGGATTTCACATACAGTCGGTTCACTCTTTGCAGTTATAACAGCTTCAACTCTTGGGAAGGCTTTCCATGAGGTCTATGGGAATTTTTGATCCAGAAGCATATTTGTAAGGTCACACACAGATATTATAGATGAGCAGGCCTGGCTCGCAGTCTCCAACGTATCCCAAAGGTGTTCTGTCAGGTCGAGGTCAGGACTCTGTGGATTGGCCTGTGTAGACCAGTCAAGTTATTCCACACCAAACTCGCTTATCCTTACATATATACCTGTGCATCCTTTGATAGGAAGAATGTGTTGAGGCGATCTGTCTTCCTGGGCAGAGATATGTTAGAAGAAGCTGAGATTGCCTTGCCGCCCTGGGTTTAGTCAACCGGAGCTCACCCATCTCTTGGATCTCCAGCTTGTGACCCAGCACCCCTGGGTCAGAAGCTTGCTCTTAAAATGGGTTGAACAGAAGTGCCTCATTTCTCTCATGCCAACTGGAACTGCTGGTAGAAGCTTCTTTGCTGGTGGAAGGCTCTTGCCACCACACAGGTTGTGTTTTCCCCTTTAAATATCTTAGGCCGCTGGCCATGGGACTACTAGCTTGGCAACTAGGTATTCAGACCTCATACAAGTTGTTGTCTACTGGGGGTGCAACTTCTGCCCCATTTGGTGATCTGCACTGCTCTGCAGGAAACGTGGAGTCCTCCTCCTCCATGTTCCCTAGGTTGATGAGGTTGGAGTTGGCATCACTCTCTGTGTCCTTACCACCCAGCTCAGCCATGTTTTGATCCAGGAGGACCTCAAATGTTAGGAGAGTGGGGGGGATCTTTCTCAATCATGTCTGCCCAGCTCGTGGTGGCTCGTAGATGATGCGTATCACCTGCAGCAGTAGCAGCTGGCAAGCAGGCACCCTGACAGTTAGTCCCTGCTACTCTCAACCTCCATTCCAAGACCTTCTGTGGCATCTCAGCACAGTGGGGGCAGCCTCGAGGGTCCGCCAGAGAAGCCTGGCCATGTTTAGTGCCATTACAAATGTACACAGGTGAGTGTCCCTGCTCTTAATCGGGGCACCACATAATGGACGGGTGGAATGACGCCTCTTTGGCCTTCAGCCTGACCAGTGTGGGAGGAGCCGTAGTCATGGTAACAGAAAGGGGTGAAACTAAGCCACACCAGGGTTGCTTGTTTGTAGCAAGCACTAGCAGCTGGGGTTAAGGCCGAGCTAGTTGCTGTGAGAATCAACATGACACGTTAGCTGAGTTCTACTAGCCAGCGCAGAAGAGACGTAAGATTTGCACATATGTGGTACGGATCGGGTAGTGACAAATCTAATGCTAGCCAAACCCTAGAATCGGCTAACCATCTAATGTGGTGTGACACTAGCATGGTTTGTGGCCTACTAACAAGCTGATGCTAGCTAGACACTAAAAAGGCTTGCCATAATGCGTTAGCCCAAGTTACACAAACGTTGGGTACGCTGCTAACTAAAACTAGGAAACTGCTGGAACAGCTTTCTTCGATGTGATTGCTGTTCTACAGAATGTAACTATGAGTTCATTTCTTTTGAGGACATATTAAGCACAGCTAACACGTCTGGTTGGCCATGCTAGAATGATGGGGCGGAGCCCTGACCACATCTCAACAGATCTGTCATGGACACACGATGTCACTGGAGCTGATCATGCCAAGGTCATTCCCATAGTGAAACATCGAGCAAAAGAACCAGTGCAAGGCCATGGGCAGACAAGGCACACTGATTCGTGTGGGGAGTGATGCCTGTAGGCTCCGATCCAACAAATAAGGTACTTTTTTAATGCTGGTTCTGATGCAAAGGTGTCAGGATACACAGTGAATCACTTTTTGTTGCACATGGGGCTGCATGGCTGCAGACCAGTCAGGGTTGTTCCTGCTGAGCTGTGTCTACCGCTAAAAATGTTAATAATGGCCACATGAGCATCATAACTGGAGCAATGGAAGAAAGTGGCTTAATCCGATGAATCATGTTTTCTTTTACGTCGCCCACCTGAGGGAACATCTGGTGTCAGAATGCACTATGGGAAAACAGCAAGCCAGCAGAGGCAGTGTGATGCCTCAGGCGATGTACCATCTACACAACCACTGGTGCAGACCATGCACTCCCTGATTGTTGGGCCCTCTTTCAGCAGGATGAGGAGCACAATGAGGATGAGGTGTTGACATGGCGTCCAAATTCCCCATATTTTATAGTGTAATATGACTTTTTTTTAAATGTCAGATTATATCACCTCCTTGGCTCCAGTGTTTTTGTTTCTAGTGCTACGTTGTGTGGTGACGTCTTGTCTTGTGCGTTTCACAGGTATCCCTGTGAATTACCAGGACGTGTCTTCTATCGATCCAGAGTATGCTAAGAATCTGCAGTGGATCTTGGACAATGACATCAGCGATCTGGGCCTGGAGCTCACCTTCTCAGTAGAGACTGATGTGTTCGGAGCGATGGAGGAAGTGCCACTAAAACCCGGAGGGACCAGCATCCTGGTCACCCAGGACAACAAGGTCAGTCATCACAAATACAGTCTGATGTGTCCCAGTGTCAGTGGAATGCAGGAGCTTATTTGGTTGGTGAAGGGATGAAGCATAACACTGTATGTCAGCTATTTGTGCCTCAGTGTTCCCTGTTGCTGTTGCTTAAAGCAGAGTGCTAAAAATGACATGTATGTATAAACTCTGTCTTTTCCATTTCTGTCAGTCGGCATCTCTTCAGGCTTGGTGTCTTTGTGTGCCTCTTCTGTTAGGCCGAGTATGTGCAGCTAGTGACAGAGCTGAGGATGACTCGAGCCATCCAGCCTCAGATAAATGCATTCCTGCAGGGATTCCACACCTTCATCCCCGCCTCGCTCATTCAGCTCTTTGACGAATATGAACTGGTTAGTCCTCCTCCTCAAGTTACTCTTCTTGTTAGTTTTATCCTTGTTCTTTCCTTACTGGCACCACATTCAGACCTCAACACCATGAGGTTTTAGGCTGCTTGGTTTAACAGCATTAAATACACCATCCAGCTGGGGCCTTCCTGTGTGGAGGTGCTGTGTTGCTTCCAGGTACACTTTTTTTTCTTTGGGTTTGGTAAAATGGCCATAGTCACACATACTCACACTGCAGTGTGTGAGTATCAGGGCTGCCACAAACCATTGTTTTGGTAGTCGACTAATCAGATCATCATCCATTGGAGGTACAAGTACAGCTTCTTGCACCAGCAGCATCTGCTCTTATATAACTATCATTAGCTTACAGCTTTAAGTGTTTAAGGTGCTAACTAAAAATAAAGACAAGATGATAGTTTATTAAATTTTAATGAAATTTGCAGATTGTGAAGTTTAATAAACTCCTTGCTATCTAAAATATAACAGGACACCGGAGTATATTCTCCAGCATCTCACACTTCTGATAATCAGCTGTCTGCTTGACGTTTAATCTCAGCCAAACCGATTTACTCAGGAACAAATAAAATACTAAAATAAGCCAAACAACAACATTTTAAGTTATCTAAGTGACTCATATATCATGTTTAACCTGAGTAGCGAAAGACGGCGGTGGGTTTGAAAACGATTTGCCGGGAGTCCGGTGTTCTCACGGCTCTAGTTAGCCTAGCCCCCGGCTAGCTAACGAGCTAGTGGGTAACAGACGTCTCCGAAAACGTCGGAGCGCTTTTGAAAATATGCGGTGTCTTGATAAACTGAGCAGATATTTGAGGTTTACACAGCTACATTCTCACCGAAAATATGTTAAACGTTTATTTTGTGACCCAGAAAGAATAATAAGAGTAAAGTTAAAACTAACTAGCTGCCGCCATTGTTGGAAACTGAGCTGGGCTGCGCTATGAATTCTGGGATAGGTTGGGCCACGAAGTATACAACTGATCCATCCTTCAAATCTGGGGAAATGAAGGCCTAATGAAGACTATTAAATCAGTCGTCGACGATTTTGATAGTCAACGTAATCGTGACTAGTGACTAATCGTGGCAGCCCTAGTGAGCATGTGTGAGTGTATTGCTCAACCAACCATTGAACTGTGGGAGGAGCTCTGTGCTCTCCTGTTGTGTTTGTCTCAGTTAGTATCTTTTCTTTTCTCTCTGTGTGCACGTCGCTGCGTGTACGTGCACACATACAGGAGCTCCTGCTATCAGGGATGCCCGAGATTGATGTGCAGGACTGGTGTAGGAACACTGAGTACACCAGTGGATACGACACTCAGGAGCCAGTCATCCAGGTGGGCGCCTCTGCTACCACACAAGAACCAAATCCTTGAACACAAGACCTGAGTCAACCAGAGACACCTTCACATTTTCGTTGAGTACATTGTAAAGAATTGCAAAAGAACTCAATAATGCAAAACTATAAAAAATAACTTTTGAAATTCCTGAAAAACACTGAGTCTGTGCCTGTGACTGCACTTTAAACCGAGTGTTTCCTAATTTTCACCAGAGAATCTCTTCACCTGCTCTGATTTCCTCTCACAGTAAAATTTTACTCTACAATACGTGAAGCTGACGTGGAGTTTACACGTCGCATTTATTTGTCACGCTCTGCTTAATTTTGAACACAGCACTGATTATAGGGAAACGTTTACTTCATGGCTCCGTAGGAAAAGACAGAGTGAAGTTCGTCATTGTCAGTAATATGAGGATGTCCTTTAGCTGCCAGCTAATTAGCTTTCCTCCCCCCTAGTGGTTCTGGGACGTGGTGACGGGCCTGACCCAGGAGGAGAGGGTTCTCTTGCTTCAGTTTGTCACGGGAAGGTTTGTCAGCTCGATTCCTTCTACAGTTTTTTTAAAATATAGAAACGTGTAAATGCCTTTTAAAGGGAATGGTGCTAATATAATCCTCGTCCAGTTCCAGGGTTCCTCATGGAGGATTTGCCTACCTGATGGGTGGGAGCGGTTTACAGAAATTCACTATTGCTGCAGTCCCGTACACCTCCAACCTGCTGCCTACCTCGAGTACCTGGTAATTAGAAACAGATCTCTTTTTTTCGTCCTGCTATCATTTGCTAATCCCCCCTTCATTTTCCAATAGAGAGAAATTACATATAAATATAATAAATACTGGGAAAAGTACATAAAATCATTTCTTTCTTAGAAAGTTTCAAACCAAGCATACAGGTCATTAATATAGCTGCAGTTGTTTTGGTAAAGAATGAGCTGTTCCCCTGCTGTGTTGGTCATGGCGCCTTTACCCCCTCCACAGTATCAACATGCTGAAACTTCCAGAATACCCAAGCAAGGAGGTCCTGAGGGACCGCCTGCTGGTGGCTTTGCACTGTGGGAGCTATGGCTATACCATGGCCTGAGCAGCGTCTGCAGGTTTGACCGTCTCCAGCCTCCACCTCCTCCACAGACGACCCTTTTGCAGTCAGCTGCTTCTTCTGCTGGATGAACAGGGAAAATCCTTAAACAGGTCCAGATCTCCCTTCACGCCTGTGCCAGGATTTCATTTTTTAGCTTTCATTGGAGACACAGCAGAGACTGACAGGAGTGCAGAGGGAGAACCTGCAGCATGTGGTCGCCTCCTCATCCCACTGAGCTAAACCAGCACCCAGCATTTCATTTTTAGGTGATTTATGCAAATCATGTATTTAAATGGACTGTTTTTCATGCAGATATTTATTTAGGATTAAAACACTATTTAGAAGATACGTTTTGTACTGAAAACACATACCAACACACATTTTGTGTCGAGATTATATATCAAAGTGCATCATAAACATTATCACAATATATGGAATCACGTTTTGTTTTTGTGCCGTCTCAGGCCTTCATCGTTCGTTTACTCTTTGGGCCGGCATTGTGTAACTGTTTGATACCTGGGCCAATAGCAGTGAACGGTTTTTGATACCTTTGGTTTTATAATTACATGACCAGAAATAGTCGTAATCGTTTGCCATTTATTTCTTAGATGACTCAACAAGGCAACACAGCAACCAACTGCACAAAGTATCAAAAGCCCAACCTGAGCAACGAAACAAAGTTTGAAACATGGAACAAGTCTGTAAACATGTAGACTCCATGTCCTCTTACAGGCGGCGCCTCCTTTGACAGATTTGTCCTACGTTGTCATGGCGCCGCTATAACTGTATTCAATAAGATTTTGTCATTTAAACCTTCTTTTAGGCTCCTCCCTGAAAGCTGAAACCAAAGTCAGCTGGATGGGTGATGAAACGTTTCCCCCGCTGAAAGCACTGATGATGATGATGATGATGATGATGAAGAGAGTCCACGTTTTGAAAGCAGGACTCTTTTTCAGTTTTTGTTATTGTTGATACAACAACAAAGAGATGGGCATCGTGCCATTAATGTATCAGCTTGCTGTATTTTTCCTCTTTGTAAAGGGAGCATATAAATAATGCAGAGATCGTTTAATCTGTCATATTTTTTCAAATGTTTTTATACAGACACTGGTGTTGCTGGTGTGTATTGATATGTTTGCTGATGTTTGTCTTTGAGATTTTATCTAATAACACTCGGACATGTTGCCATTAAGCAGCAGAGGCAAACGTTTGTACTTGGGTTTCTTTTAAAAAGGGGCGGGGTTACCAGCAGGTTGTTTGCCTGGACAGGTGTAAATGGCCACGACATGAGCTCTGCACTCCGGTCATCAGTTTAGACCAACAGGTAACTACTGTTTAAGCACTGCTTCCAGCCAAGAGTGATGCCTTATATGCCACATAGCTTCAGAAAAGGCTAACATTGTTATCTTTTTACAAAAAAAACAGCTGAACATGAGAGGTTCTTGGACAAAGTTTGTGTTCTCCATTCTTTAAGCACCGTTTAAGCACCGGCACCGTTTCAAAAGTACCGATTTGGCACCGGTATAGGATAAAACCTAAACGATACCCATCCCTAGTGTTCATGTTAGCGGCTCTGCGCCGTCACATTAGTGCCACCTACTGAAGCTCAAGAGGTAGGAAATATCAACCATTAGCATTTTTTTAAATAGGTGACTGATTTTATTTTTTAAAGCCAAGAACCAATAGAAGCTGGTTTTTAATCATAAATCAAGAATTTAGGCAGTACTGTAAAATATACATCATGCTGAGAATAAGTACAAATATTTCTGCAGGATTGAAGCGTCCTCCATCAGTGGAAGAAGTTTGAACAAGAAAGAAAACTCTTAGTTGGGCAGGTATACTTGTTTCTGTTCTTTCTACTGAAGCGTTGTCTAATATTCACACAATCACTTCTCTGCACTGTGTGTGATGTGAAGATTTCATGCATTTTTGAGTGAGGCTGTAACATGACGAGTGAAGTGCTGGGAATACTTTCCAAATAATATTCTAGGAAAATACTTTGGGCATGCAGTTTTGAAAGGAGAGGGGAAACAGCATATTAAAGTACATGCAGTTTTTGGTGCAGCTTTCACACTACCCAGATCCCAGTGCGAACATCTGCAGGATGTGCTACAACCAGACCCATCCACAAAGGCACCAACATCCCTGTTACCAGAACCCAGAGGTACCTTATCCAGGCGAGAGGCTGAAACATCGTGACAGCTGATAGCAGAAAAAATATTAGGATCATTGAAATAAAGCTACTGCTTAATGCAACAAGAGCTCGAGCTCTTTAACGAGAAGGCAAGTTTGCAGTTTATTGATGAAGACATACGATCACTAATGATTAGTCCTGTTGGTCTGTTGTGTCTTTATAAATTAAAATAACCTTTATGCATGTGGTTGTTTTATTCAGTTTTATTCACACAGGACCAAACAGTCGCCTCAAGAAACAATACTTTAAGTTAAGACCCAACAATCAAAGGTTTGTCTGGTCATCTGAGACGTTTACCTGTTGGATGAGTTCAACAGCAAGTTTCTACTGTGCTCAAATAAACTTCAGGGTTTTAAAACTAACTGCTGTAAAATTTAGAGCTTGAACAGTCACTGTTGTGAAGCACAAAGTAAACTGCTAAAATCATTGGTTTTTATTCTTTTATTTAACCAAATGGAATCAGGTTGTTTTTTAAGTCTTATTTTTGTCCTTAGGCTGAAGAAGCTGTTCAGGTGTTCATAAAGCCAGACTGCTATTCTTCTGCAACACGACACAAGCTCGCACAGGAAACGTCTGAATTCAGACGTCCAATGAAAAACAATTTCAGTTTGATTCATTTTTATTTATATTGAGCTGAATCCAGACAAAAACATGTTTAACCAACGAGCAGCTTCTGTCATCATTCATGTCTCTGCTGCCAACATTTTTTTAAAGTTACTCAAAGTCAATGGATCATTCACTGTGAACGTTTTTTTAATCAAAGGCAACGTCCTCACAAAACAATCCAATGAAAATCCGGCTTTTAAACGATGATAAACCTTTAACGCTGTCCAGGTTTGGTTTAGTAACGGTGCAGTGATGGGACGCATGAAGGCTGAACTCAGGTCCGCCGATGCAGAGAGATGATTAAATGCTCATTCGTGGCAACATGTACGACTTAAATAAACCCTGGAAAGAGGTGCTGTAGGAGGAGAACGACTCCCACCACCAGGACACCACAGAAGAACAACACCAGCCAAACAGGGAAGTATCCTGGAGAGAACACAGGAAATGATCAACAGGCTCTGAGATTATGAGACATGTTCAATAAATGATGATGCAAGACTTACTTCTTCTGGCAACACGGTGTAGTTGGCAGCGACTGTCCACAGCTACGCTCAGCAGGGCTGTTTCATTGTTCCCCTTGATGTTCTTGCCTTTCATGGAGTGAGGCAGGAAGGCCAGGTCTGTCACCACGATGCCGTGTGATTCATGCACATAATACAGCCTCTGCATACAAACACCACGTTATAAGTTAAAAACATGGCTGCTTGTTGGATTTATGCATCTGTAAGTGCAGCGTGTCACCTGTAGGGAGAACGCGATGTAGATTGCTACTGATCCTGTCACAGTTCCAAGGCCAAGAAATGTTCCAGAGTCACTACGAGGAAGAAAGCAAACAGCTTCAAGTCCGACTTGCCTTTCCAAACTCAATATGCTACGCAAACGTGCTTTCAGAGAAACACTAATCACTTTTGATAAAAGATGTGCACAGCTAATGGTTGCTGACTGAAGACCTTGACTCTAGCATTGTTGTGGGCGCCATCTTAGTTCAGAGGTTCAGTTTAGTGATGAAAATTAGTAAAGGGGACGTCTAAAAGACAGCTAAGGCTAAAGCAGTGCAGAGATGGAGCAGTGCCTCCACACTATCCAATGTAAACATCTATAGGACGTGTTGTCTGTGAAGGTTCTCGGTCATCCAGGTCATCGTAGTCTAAGGAGCTTGTAAGAAAAGTGTCTGGACTTCCTTAAGTTGCTTGAGAGGTGAAACGTCTTCAAGCAACTTAAAGAGGTCCAGACACTTTTCTTACCAAGCTCTTTAGACTATAGGGCGTGTTAGAACAAGAGCCACCATCACATAAACCACAGGACCAACATCCTTGCTGCCTAAACCCAGAGGGACCTTGTCCATCCCCCAACTAGAGGGTTACAGTTAGTAAATCTGTATAATATTAAGATCCCAAAAGGTTGATTCTGGATGTTTTCAGTGGGAGAAGCATCACTGTCAGAGGCCATAAGAAGATCATCTGTAACCTTCACTAAAGTTGTTTCTGTGCTGTGATGAGCTCTGAAACCTGACTGAAACTCTTCAAATAAACCTCTGCAGATGATCTGTTAGCTGTTTGACAACTACTCTTTCAAGGATGTTTGATATAAAGGAAGGTTGGAGATTGGCCTATAATTAGCTAAGACTGCTGGGTCTAGAGATGCTTTTTGAGTAATAGCTTAATTATTGCCATCCTAAATGTACATGCATACATAATTAATAAAGAGTGATAAAGATCGAAGAGTGAGCTAATGGCAGGATGTCGTTGAGCAGCCTTGTAGGAACGAGGTAAAATGAACACGGAGGGTGAAGATTAAAAGTGATTCTGCAGGTAAACTCAGAAAATCAGCCAGAGACAAAGAGTCTAAATAATAAATATCACTGAAAGTATCTGTATACAGTAAGAAGTCTATGGGATTGTTATGAGTCATGTTTTGTGTAATGGTTACAACTTTATTGATGAAGTCATTACTATTCAAGGTTAAAAAGGAGCAGTCAGCAGAGCCTCTTTGTCGCCATGGATACAGTGCTGGAAAAACCTGGAGCTATTCTCATTTTCACACGCTCTCCAGGCTAAATGAAAATGCTCTAAAGCTTACTGATTAGTTACTTGTGTATTTGTGAGTTAGAGCCAGGACGTCTGAGACTTGTTCAGAGGAGCGACAGTATTCAGAGCCGCACGCTGTGAGGACGTGACAACATTAAAGCAGATAATCAGCCTGTGTAGGAGCAGAGCTTAGGTCGCACTAAATCAGATTAAAAAGTCTGAAATCAGAAACGAGGGCCTCGTTAGACATCGTAGTCATACCACATCTCAACAAACACAACCGCCAGTCTGCATGTCAGCATTTATGAAGCCGTTACCTGACAGCCAGACTGGAGATGACCTCCGTGCCGCAGGGAGCCGTCAGCATGGCCAATAAGCTCCTGCCGTCCCACTTGGTGAGGTAGCACGGGGGAGGTTTTCTGTCTCGTTTATGGGGGATCTGCACGGTGTAAAGTCTCAGGGCATCTTTCTGGTCTTCAACCTTTCCAAACCTGAAACAGGCGAACAGACAACCATGCAGTCATTGTTACTGACAGACGTCTGTACAGTGCACCTGAGAAACTCATCACTTCACTTGTTCCACATTTTTTCATCTCTTAGTCTTATGGATGGATTCCATTTATTTTACACATGCAGACTAAACTCCACAAAATGGAAAAGTTTGCTTGAAGCTTTGCAAGTTGATTAAAAAATAAAAGACTAAGATGAACACTGGTACATAAGTACAGCCTGCTCAGTACTTTGCTGAAGCACCTCTGGCAGCTGTTAAATGCTACAAGCTTGACACGCACAGTGCAGCTCCGTCAGCTTAGATGGGGAGCAACAGTGCACAGCCATTTTCAGATCTCAATGCAATGTAACAAGTAGTGTAACAAATTACTTTCTCTAGTGAGTAAATAAGTAACATGCTGCATCACTTTTCTTGAGTAATGCATCTGACAGGTGATGAAAACAGGACGCAGGAGCTCCGTCACAAACACTCAGTACTTGTGGAAGTGTCCCATTTTATATTTTTCAAATTTAAACAAATTTCCAGTCAACTTTGTTTCACTGCATCATTGTGAGATATTGTGTTAATGCGTTTTGGAATAAGGCTGTAACAACACGTGGAACAAGTGAAGCATGAATGCTTTCTGGGTGCACCGTACTGTACGAAACACTAAGATGCTCTTTGATTGAAGAACAAGCTAGATTAGGTTTTACCTGCAAGCCAAATATCGATAGGTCTTCTCATCTATTTGAGACATGGTTTCATGCCATTTAAGACTCATAGACAACTGGTTGCCACTCCATACACTGCAGGCAAAGTCCCGACCAACAGTCACCAGATGCTATATGACAACAGACAGAAGGTTACTGATGAACCATCTACACTAACTGGCTACTAAGTTACACCGAGCCTGAACCCCTTTTTGCATCCACAGCTGCCTTAATTCTTCATGGCACAGATTCAACAAGGTGCTTGAAACATCTATATTGTCATCATAGCACACAGATGCTGTATATCTGTCAGCTGCACATCCATGAGGGAAAAACTCCAAAAGGTGATGAAGAGATGGGACTGACATTTGTAGAAATCTAGTGACTAAGGAGGTCATGAGGGTGCCTGTGACTGGAAAGTCGGTGGTTTGTGATCGCTGGCTTTTCCAGTCTGCTTATTAAAGTATCGCTGAGCAAGACACTGAACGCCAAGTTGCTCCCGATGCACTCAGACTGTTACTGTGTGTGTGTATTAGACAAAAAGCACTCAGATGTAGAAAAAGTTACTTTCGAATTTGATGATTTTTCAGTCCAATTTTGGAAACAGCAATTGTAGAAATGTAGTCCAGTCTGCTGCTGTACACGTCTACTCGAACGTTCAACCATTCTCCTCTGACAGTGAGCTGCCGGTCACGACATATTTTCTCTTTTTCAGATCACTCTAATTACAGATAGGTGAGCAGGAAAATTTCTTCTCTTTTCAAGTCCTGACATCAACAACCACGCCACGCCCAAAATCACATTTCTTTAGCAGGTCATCTTAACCAAAGACCTAAATTTGCTGAGCAGCTACCTGAACACTACAAAGGTTAATTATCTTATTAATAATTTTACTTCTTTGCTTTTATTTAAAGAGAAAAAAAAAAGCAATCTGGTAAAGCCAGAACATCTTACTATTCATCACTGATTGAAG